ATATTAACGTGTCATATAGACGTCAAAGCTAGACGTCTTTTAGACGTCAGAAAAAGACGTCTATATTAATGTGTCATATAGATGTCAAAACTAGACGTCTTTTAGACGTCGGGAAAAGACGTCTATATTAACATGTCCGATATACGTCGAAACTAGACGTCTTTTAGACGTCGGGAAAAGACGTCTTCTGGCGTCACAGTCTGCACCTCCGAGGGACCCAATTTAGACGTGCAGAAACGACTTAAAAAAGACGTCGTTTAGACGTCTCCTTGCTCAGCGGGTGGGTTGAAGCTCGCTGGAAACATCAGCGGACTCAAGTGAACCGGATCATTTTAGTTCGAGTCACTGAAGTGAACTGAATTTACCAGCTCTAGTTTTCATCTAACCTTTATTTATACAGGTTAATCCCAATGAGCCTCGGGGATTCATTTACAACAGAGGCCTGATTTTTTTTAACAGAGCAATAACAACAGTGGATACTTTTTTAAAGACAAGTTAAAATAAAATGGCAACCAAAAGGACAGTCAAAAGAAAAAAAAAAGTTTCAGGACTACAAATAGTGTTAAGCACTCACCAACACAAATTTGCATACACTATTTGTATATGTACAAATTTGTCTTCAATGAGAAAAAAGCAAGCATTCACACAATCACAAGGGGATGAAAAACAATAAAAAGCAAAACAAAACAATTAAAATAAATCAAATGATAGATGCATTTCCAAAACAGAGCAAAACCTTTTGTTTTCTTGCGTATTGAATGAAACGTGGTCTTTTGTTGCAGATGTAAAATGTTCTCCAGCCTCATCTACATTTGCTCATTCAGGGGCCTTTTCAGGTTTGTTTTGTAGAACGACGTGCGTATAAGGTTTTCTGAAACGTTTAAGATTTTATGTTTCAGCGGTTCATTTTGTTTTAACCTACTTCAGTTTTCTTTAGCTTTTCTACTGATAAAACACCAACATAAACTTAAAGCTGCTGGTGTTAAATCCCAAAAGGTAAAGTAAGCAAAGACAAAAAATAAAAATCTGTTTTTACTGTGGAAAAGCAGCAAAAATAATTGATCCTGGGGCTTCACACGATCAATTGATAAACTGTAATATAATGATTCTATTCACACATTAACAGTAATTCACAACACAGTTTTATTTCACACAGAAACCATGTGTACAGGTGTGATCGGTTACACAGGCTCGTCTCAGATGAACGCTGCTGGTGAAACAAGCAGACGACTGCACTTAAATTCACTGAGGAAACAACTCCGTGTGGTCAGCTCCGTTTTAAATATCATGCACAACATCAAAAATAGGATTTTGACATATAGTTTCACAGACACAGATGCACCAGATCTCAGATGTTGCACAGGCACATAAACCGAGATCATTCCTGCTCAGGAAAAACACCAGGTTTTTTTATTATGGAGGGAGGAAATAAAAAAAATTAAAAAAGACTGAAATTTACAGAAAGACAGAGTTCAATTTAAGCAATTTGATTTCTCCGTTTCTCTTTTTGGTTCTGAATGTAGTTGTACGCCGAATAATACAGTCATTACATGAACATATGCGCCTTTTAGGAATATTTATTTAGTTTTAAAACAAAAAATATATATATTTTTTGTAAATAGTGTGGAATTTCACAGAAAGTCTCGTTTTTCTTTGAACTACTTGTTTCATGTAAATTACAGCATTACATAAAGAGAAAAGTGAAAACCTGTAAAATGTCAAACGAAGGAAAAATTGAGGATACTGTTTTTTTTTTTTTAGACACCTACACCTCACAGCCTCACAGTGTACAAAACACACAGGCAAAGTGACATCAGTAAGAAAAGAAAAACAATATTTAAGGCTCAACCATACATGAACACATCAGCAGAGCAGGAGAAGAGTTACAGGAGTGATTTGTATTTTTTTGCACCACAGCATTGACATTGAAAACACATCAACACTGAAGGTTTGCCCCCACTGGTGGGTTCTTCTGCTTCAAACACCCCAAAAGACCCACACAAACCTCCAACTGCAGCAAATGAAGTCAACATGAAAACACTGAAAGATTCATTAAAGAGGCTGTTAAAATAAAATAAAATTGGTTTTAAAGTTTTCCGCTGACAAACCAAACCGTAATCTGGAAGTTGTTTAGAGGTAGAAAATGAAGCGTGGAATAAATCGTTAAAACAGAAGCACGGTGCCATTTTTACTCATTTTAAAGCCCAATGAAAACAGTAAAACATTAACAACTCTGTGGCAACGCCGCCCTGACACACTGCTCAATAAGTTTACTACAAAGGGTCTAAGAATCAGATGAAAACCAAGTTTAGAAAACTTGTTTGTTTTTTTTAACATATATTTTACTTAAAGGACAAAACAGATTTTGACCAGTATGTACCAAAACATTTTAAGCAGCGTAACAGGAAGTAAATTCACTTAACTCTGAACCCATTGAATACCATTCCTCCATGTTGTGACGATTTATAAACACGAGGGACGCACTCAGTTATTTAAATTAATCCACAAAGTACTGGAGAGCAGAGAACCTCGTTAATGAAATCGACCCACAACTCAGACGTGAAGATGTAGCCCCGGTGACATTTTCAGTGGGTCACATGGAGAAGCTTCAGGCGAAATCAAATTTACCGACATTTACAGCCGAGGCCAAACGTTCTGCGCTCACAGCTCAGCTTTTAAACAGCGTAGTCCAAATTCATCGCAAGCAGCAACAGCCTTCGTTACCACAGCTGCTCTGCTTTTCCATGTCTTTTCCAGTAATGTTATATGAATATATGATTTGTTCCAAACACAAGGCGATGTAACAAAAAAAGATGTATAATAAAAAAAAAGGATTAAGCTTTTTATTTTATTTACTACGAGTTATTCTGTTTATGAGGAAAAAAAATATTTAAAGAAAAATATCTGAAGTGAGGTAAAAGAGGTTGAAACCACTTCATGTTCTTTCATCGGTGCTGAAAAACTGACGGAGCTCAAAGCTGACTCAGCATCTTTTCGCTTTAAATTTTCAAACAAAGTGCGTCATTAAATTCCAAAAATAAAAAGTAGTTCATAGTTTCTTTACTTTAGTCTGTTACGACTTATTTTGACGCCAAGAAGTGAACTTCTAATGAAATCAATTAAAGGTTTAAGAATCAGGGCTGATCAGTGATTTAATTAAATCTATACATTCATCGGAAAAAATATTTTAAGGCAGGATGGACAATTAAACTGAATATTTCTTTGTAATTACATTTTAATAGTTAAGAAACGTAAACAAAACGATTCTATTTTGTTAGTCTGTTGAAGTGTTACGAGGTGTCTTTAATACCCAAAATCAGTTATTGTAAGGACGGGAAACATTTAGTAAAACGTCAAATTCAGCTGCTCAGAAATATGTTTTTTTTTTCCTCATAAAACTAAACGTGTTAACAGTTGATCCAGTTAATCACAGACTGCATTAATGAAATATTTAAGATGTTGATTTTGGTGCAACTGGGCATCGATACATCATGTTCATAATAATTTTGATACCATTAGAGATTTTCTGGTCCTGCTGGTGTATCAACATTTAGCATCTCTGATGGTCCAAATTCTTTGACACATCCTTTGGAAAACAATAATTCTCAAGAATAAAAACAAGACTATATGAAGACCATGTAGTCCCGTATTAGATATCTATAAAGGTTTTAATCGTAAGCATTTTGTTACACTGACTTGGTCTCTTTGTTTTCTTTATAGCAGTTTAACAAAACACGGACCGCAGGTTGGAACGAGTGCTAATCTGTCAAAAAGGGTTTTCATTAATCAGTTTTTCAAACCGTGCAAAAGATCTAAAGGGCCAAATCTGGCTGAACACAAACAGCATGATTAGCCTTTAGCCATATTTACAATGATTCATATTTACAATAGAATTTCTCTTTCATGCATCATTATTTAATTTGCTGAATTAAACACCAGTAGCACGAACAGCATGAACACAGAATGACTCACCTTTACAAGTACGATATTTGGGTAATTCATACAGGACGTTATATCTTATCTACACTCGTGTCTGATTCTTTGTGATGAAGGCCATTGATAATAAAATATAGCTCTGGAAATCAATACAATTTTAAGGTGATCCATTTTAGTGAGCTCAACTCGTTTCTGGGCATCTTCGTTGTTAAAGTAAATAATAAATTCTATTTCAATGCATAAACAGGATTAATGCAACTCTACTCCAGAAAGTGCTGATGAAATGAAGAGAGGAGAAAGAGGGAGGCAGTGAGAAGGCCAGAGGAGGAAAACAAATGATTATGTATGTTTGTGAGGCCACTACCAGCCCGCGTTCTCCCAGCTGTCCTCGGCGGGTTTTGAAGGACTCTTCTTTGTCTTGCCATCCGCGTTCTCCCAGTTGTTGTCCCAGGCTTCCCAGCCCTCCTCTGTGCTGTGTTTGTTGTTGGACGCCGCTCCTTCAGAGCCCCAATTGTCCCAGCTGTCAGAGCTCTTCTTCGCTGAATTATCTGCCATGGTCCAGCTGTCACTACTGGGAGATTTCTTCTCCTTTAAGGAGCTGTTGCTGCCAAAAGTTTCCCAGAAGTCCCTTGACACTGGCTGGCTGGAGCTGCCTTGGTACCCCTCAGTGGCATCCATATTCTGATAGCTCTCTCCACCAGACCTGAACACGCATACACACAACAAAAGAAGCCATTGTTACTTCAATATTACCACAATATTTTAGACACGCATGTCCTAGTTGGGCTATTTTGAATAAAGTTGTTAATTACCCATCTTGTGGTTTTCCAGATAACAGATTGGTCAGTTTCACACCTGCTCCCTGCATCTAAAAACAAAACACAAATTATTTCAAGCCCTAAAACAAAAACAGAACTAAGACAAAAGAAGACAGAAAACTTTTGTTTTTAAACTGATACATTTATAAAATTCAGTATTAATAACAAACCAAATGTTCGTTCTTACACTTGGACAATAATTCACAGTTGTAACATATCTAAATCTATTACATCATGGCAACCTTTAATGGTGTACTCACCACCAGAGTAATGACAGCAGCAAGAAAAACAAGAGATCACATTTAATTAGCGTCATTCGATCTTATCAGCACTGCAAAACCAGTCTCCTAAGAGGGTTACAAAAAAATCTATGCCATTGCACAAAGGTTGTTGATTTAAAGTCCAGTTTGATCGATCAGAGCCGCTTCCTCTCACTCAGGAGGCTGGTTTTGCATCAGTGCGGTGTGGCAGAAGTCTGCCCATCCTACCTTGTTTGCCAGCCCCGTGATGCCGACTGCCATTTCATCTAGCAATTTGCCATCTTTGACCTGAACGAGCCAAATTAACATTAAAAATATACTTGAAAAAGGAAAAATAAAATAGTAATTTTGTCAAAATTGGTTTAGTGCATAAATCAGGTTGCGAACTATTAGTTTCTGAAGATGAGAAAAGTGATTGGGTTTTGTTAAAAGCATTAAATTCACTGCACAGAAAGTGAGTCAGCAGTAAAGAAGATTTTTTTTTAAACACACACGACAGATACTTTAATAAGAAATGCCAGCTGTACATTTAAAGACAAAACCTTTTAGTTTAGTCTCCCAGTCACTGGTCTTCTCATAAAGGGACAGCATATGACCAGAGTATTTTGTAATGAGAAGTTTTTAAAGTCACTTCTAGGATGTGTCCCTTGTATTTGGATTAAAAATAGAAGCGTTTCCCATCATCTGACCGGATTAAGACGCATCCAGCAGCTGCTCACTTGACAGTCAAAATTAACTGTTTTGCAGAAACATTTATGTGGAAAACACGTATCCGTTCTTCAAAAAAAAATATATTTATTCAGTTAAAAAGGAAATTTTAAAAATGAGCTTTTGGATCTTAAAAACAGTCAATCTGCAAAGACCGTGTGCACAGATCAGCCATTTTGATCACCCACCTAATACGGAGTAAGTCCCTCTGTTACCAACAAAGCGGCTCTGACAAATTAGACGCATGTGTAAAATAAATATGCGAGAAAATATTTTGTACCTGGATTATAGTAACACATCTTGGAGGCTAGATGGTTATGAGGTGTGCCCTCTACACCCACAGATGCCATAAAAATCAGATTAGTGAATCTGGATTTGATGATTTGATGCGATTAAATGTTCGGGGGGCTGGACACTGAAAGTAACATGTGACTATCAGGATATCTTCCATCAGAACGTTGCTTTGTAATCAGATGAACAGGGTGACTTTACTTGTGAGTGGTCATATTGTTATGGCTGATGGCTGTCAGTTTTCAAATGAGGAGCTGCTGTTTACGTTTACTTATAGAATTGAATGAGACAATCTGACAAAGTACAAAAAGTCAATTTTATTTGTGCACGATCACTAAGGCTCGACTCAAGGTCCAGTCCTAATAAAATATTTCTGGTTTTGTCGCTTGGCCAGCTACTTTAAAAATAAATAAATAAATAAATCATCTCAGAAAAATAATGTAAATTTGACTTTGGCCGTTTTGGAAGGTGCATATTTAGGAATTCAAAACTAAATAAAATAGGTGTTACTTAATGTAGTATTTTAATTTGAGATTAAACACTAAATTAGCTCCTTTTGTTTCAAATTAAAACGATAAACTGAGAAACACAGGAGCAGGCGTTGGGCCAAAAACATGGATAAAGTGTGACAAACACACAAGGAGGCTTTGTTTTCTGCACCAGATTGGCGTTTCCACAGCTCTTTGGTTTGTTGAAGGGTTGTTCTGATCAAATCACCTCAGTTCAATAAAGAAGACTCAAATCTCACATTGTCCCTCGTCTTTAATCCTGTTTGTAACAGCCATGGACAGGATCTAAGGTGCATTGTGGACAGGAGGAAACTTCAGGGTCTCGTCTGATCATGTGGTTCTGTTGGTGTCTTCGAGCCATTACTCTCAGCATGCATTGGGGTAGAGCTGTCATTTCTAACCCGGGCCCGAAGCCCGGCCTGAATTTGGGCCAGGCTGAGCTGTTATAATGCTGGATGGGCAGGCCGGGTCGGGCTTTTGATTGCGTCAGCAGATCAGCCACGATCCAATTATATTGCAAAATGGCTTGCCATATTATCCAATTATTTGGCAACATGGCTTGCCATACATTCACCAGCCACATGCGGCCATTTGACCGGCCTTGAAAGAGGTCAAATAAAGTTCAGTTAAGCTTCAGATGGGACTACCGGTACTTCCAGGAAGCGATCCATCGCCCAAATGGACGGTCAGCCGCTGCACTCGTGCAGGCGGAAGCAGGGATTTAATGCGCCTTGATGGCCATGAAAGGACAAACACCCCCTCAGCTCCGATCTTCTGTCCCTTTTATTCAGCCATGCGCATCCGCCAACCGTTAATAACTATATAAGCAGTCATGGCTTAATTAAAATATCGAGTGGGGGGGGGGGGATTAGTACCTGTAATTACTGTTAAGTCGTCGGATCGGGTGGGGTTCAGAAATGACGACTATGGGCTGGGTCGGATGTTTTGGGCCCAGATGCAACTCTACATTGGGGTGCTCTGCAGCTGAGTGTGAAGAGGGTGGGATGAGTGTAAGCTCCTCTATGTCTGAGGCCTTGGTCCTAAAGGGGTGTCTCTGCCTCGAGCTGAGAAGTTCCAAGTACCTGGAAGTCTTGTTCACTAGGATGGTAGGATGAAGGGGAAGATGGATCAAGGTCTCACCAGCAGTAAAACGGGTGTTGGTCGTGGTGAAAAAGCTGAGCTGTAAGGCCAAGCTCTCAATTTACTGAATAGTCTACGTTACAACTCTCACCTATGAGATATAGATCAACCAAAAGAGCACAATCCCATTGAAGCTTCTGAACTGGGCATCCTCCGTCAGGTGGCAGGGCTCAGTGAGATGTGGAGCTCAGTTATCCAGGAGGGAGCTTAAAGTAGAGCCACTGCTCTTCCACATCAAAAGGAGTCAGGTGAATAGGATGCTTCCTGAACACCTCCCTCTGGAAGTTGCTTTGGGCACGTTATAATGGGAGGAGATCCCAGGACGACCCAGACCTTGGTGAAGGACCATATATCCTCTCTGGTCAGGGAACACCTTGGGATTCTCCAAGAGGAGCTGGAAAGTGCAGCTGTGGAGTGGGATGTCTTGGTTTTCTTCCTTGACCTGTTGCCTCCATGACCCACTTCAGATAAGCAGCAGAAAACGGGTGGATCGTCCTACAGTGTGTGAGCCTTGCACATTTTTTCCAATAAGTCGAGCCTAAACCCGTCTTTGCTTCTACGTTAAAATATGTCAATTTTCCCAACATTTAAAATCATCAACTGAGCTCCTTGGTAAAGCAAACTGTAATTAAAAGCTGAATTCCCTGAACTAAAGCATGATCTCAAAAGATCAAGGCTACTGAGAATGTTTTTAACTAAACTGAAACATCACTCAAATGTTCAGGTCACACCTACAGTAGATTCCTATTGAAATCTCTGGGTCCAGTCACTAACAGGCAGAGGCTTTTTTTAAAGAGTTTAAACCACAGATTTTGTCTTGTAATGTCAGCTGGCACAGAGGAAATAAACAAGCAAAGACGAGCAGCAGAGAAAATAGCACATTCACATCTGAAGCTGTTCTTTTCATCTAAAAGTGCTGCATCCCACCACCAAGTTCAACAACTTCAAACATCAGTGTTACCTTTTCTTGTGTGGGTTTGATAACATTCTCATTTAATGTCTGTCCTAACTCTGTGGCCTAGTTGAAAGTCAGAGGGGAGAGTTCACTTGAATAAAAGAGGACTTCAACATTCACAGCAGTGCAAAATGTTCCTCGGCTGCATCAGTAAACGGCTCTACGCACGACGACAACAGAAAAGCTCTAGATGCACAAAAAGAAATTATGCTGCAGATTCCTCTCTAATGTGTTTGCAATGCTGTCAATAGCAAAACATATTTTGATGAAATATAAGCAGATTATTCAAATATATTCTGAAGGGGGAAAATATCCTAAAAGTAAAAACTATTATGATACACAAAGAAATTAAGAAAAGTAAGTTTTTATTGTTAAGAAGCCACAGTAGTTTGACACAAAGTTCGCTCGTTTCCCAATTTCTCTCCTATAACAGTGACTTCTAATACAATTTATCTTTTATATTATCAGATTACATTATGTTTTGTTAATATCTCAATGATTCTTTTTGTATAATCTTACCATTACTCTTTCAGAAAATATGTAATTCCTAACAAGTTTAGGACTTTTTTGTTGTTAAAAAAAAAGTCCTAATTTTTCCACATTAGATTTTTAAATGGCCTCCTTAATCTTTTTTCTTCTACACTGTGCCTAATAAAACACTACAGAGCACAGTGAAAACTCAGGGACCCAAACTGAAATGTTTTGGCATATTATTGTGCTATTTCAAAAAAAAATATGGGGGGGTAAGTCATGCAAATGAATGGATAAGCCATTACAGCAGTCCCTCGTTTATTGTGGGGGATCCGTACCATGAAGCCCCGCGATAAGTGAAAAATCGAGAAGTAGGACTAGTAGTACAAGTAGTAGTGTATATATATATATATATATATATATATATATATATATATATGTATATATGTGTGTGCGTTTTAAACCCTTCCCACACTCTTGCAATATTCTAAACAATGTTTCTAAACTCTAAACGCTCTAAAAGAGCACAGAATGTCATGATTTCAGCTCCCTGCCTCCTCAGCTCTCAGCCACCTGCAAGAGCTCTTGGCCACGCCCACTTCACCACTCTGCACAGAGAACAGCTGATCAGCTGCAGCAGGAAGCTTATCCTGCAGTATGGGCTGCACAAAGGTGCAGGAGGTGCGAAATATAAATTTTTTTAATTCGATGCCGATCGTGCGGCTCATCCATCAGTCAAATCGGTGTCAAGTCCAATCTTATTTTTGAAAAACCGCAATAAACGAACCGCGAAGTAGCGAGGGACTACTGTGAAAATTAGGATACAAACTCCTCATCACAACACTGTCTTAGCATCTTTAAAATGATTCAAGAACTTAAATGATCAGCACCAAGTCGAGCAACGCTTGATTTTTAACAAACAGATGCATGTAAAGACAACATTCAGCAACATGCTGTACCACATTTTTAAGATTTAAAGAATAGCAAGCTAACAAAAATATAACATAATGGATGAAATTTAACAAATAATGTGGAAAAAAGGAACCATGCATCTATAAATGGCTTTACCGGTTCTGGTGGGGCTTTATAGCCCCTTAACTACATCCAGAGAGGGCAGAAAGATATTAGTAACAAAAACATTATCTCAAGTTCAAAGGTTGTGCCATTCAATAAGATAAATTTACAAATCAAAGCCACATACTGCAGGTTCATGTTACATCATCAAGTGAGAGGTGGCTCACTGCTCTTACCTTTAACGTTGCTTGGTTTGCCAGTTTTGTCGTCTGCAGGGATGAAAAACAAGAATTAAAAATATGTTTTAAAGGAATTCTATTTTTAACCGGAGACTGAAGATAAACACTTGCTTTTGTTTAGATACACTTACATTGTCTTTGGCAATTGAAGCAAATTTGCTGGCTCCAACAGTAAAATTGCTCCATCCCTAGGTAAACACACACAAAACTATAAATACATGTCAAACATGAGGGGTGTACAACAAGAACAAGCCAGCAACAACCCGCGTCATGACCTACTGAATAAATTGAAGACATGGCGTTGTTCAGGAAGTCTTCTTCTTTCTTCTCTGGCGTCACAGTGTTGCCAAAACCAACGTAACGATTCTCTTGGTTCCCACTGTAACCTCCTCCACTGAAGAGATAGTTTTCATATTCATTAAAATATAATTAAATATGTAGAAAACAAAAGTATTTAAACTAAAAAAAAAACTAACCTCTGGTAAGAATTAACATCGTCAGACAACCAGTCCTCAAAAGCTTTGTCACTAGAACTCGCTGGGTTCTGTCCAGGTCCTCCAGAACTGAAGGAGTTTAAAGTCAGACCTGTAATGGCTGCTGTGTGTCGAATATGACAACCAGGACTGGTTTGTTCAAATATTCCATTTCACTTACCGATGAGTGGTTGAAAGGCTGGTTTTGGGTTGAGGTGGTGTCCAGTTTTTGGCAGCAGACGTCTCAATGGACCACTCCTTCCCCTCAGCTAAAGTTGCAACCTGTTTTATCAAATTAAAAGTTCATCTTGAGTGTTTACTTTAGTCAAAACACAGTAAATCTCATTAAATCATGCTTTTCATTTGATCCATTTTAAACTCAATTGATTAATGTCCCTGTAGTCTTTTATAACTAACTATTTATTTATCTATAATAACTCTAACAGACGTGTCAACCAAAATACACAGAGTTACTGAAGACATTCAAATGTGGTAGAAATGTTTGTTAAATCTTCTAATCCTTCAGCTGGGTGTGTGCCTCACCTTGTCCCTGAAGAGCGCAGCTGCTCGGCTGTTGTATTTCTCGTGTAAAGTCCAGTTGGGGTCATAATCATCTTGAAGTTCAAGAAACAGGCGAAATTTGCCATTTCCTCCTGCCTTCATTTTCTCCAGCTCGATGTCTTTCCACTTGTCCATGGTGACGGAACGCACAAAACTGAAAGCAGAAGACGAGAGACCGTTCAAAGACAGAAAACACACGAAACGTTTTCCAAGCTGTTCAGTGGCTAATGAAATCTTTATTATAGAAAAAAATTCTCAACTTATCCATGTGGGTTAAGAACTCATAAAGGTTTATTTGTTGGACCTCTATAAAGTTCATTTTAAACTTTGCTGTGCTTTTGAAACAATATCCAAACACCAGTATCATTCCAATAATTTAACAAATCTTAAATATATGTGCATGTTTCACATCAGTAATTCTATGATCCGTTGACTCTCTCCTACCTGAGGTGCACCCCCAGGCCCCGGTGTTTTCCAGAACACTCGAGGCAAATCCAAATGCCGTACGTCACACTGACCCACTGAGGGTTAAAAGCCCCACACTCAAAACACAACTGAAAGGAAAGCAGACATTAGACATTAATTATTGTTCAGTAGGTGGCGATTTACCGTTTAAAGATGTCAGCTTGACCTTGTAAACCTTTGGTTAAAAACCTATTTTGCATGAGAATGCAAGCACTGTTCGTGACAATCGTTTCCTATAAAGCATCTAAACTTTAATTTCTTTTGTTTTACTCATTTAATTGATTAAAAAGCCATTTTCTTAGCACCACAGCTGTCTGCACAAGTCCTGCCACAACTGCCAAAAGCCAACCAAGAAAACTATTATTTAAAATTACCTTTTTATACATGTGAACAACGATTAAAAAAAAAAAGATGTCTTGGTAGAGGCTGCTTCACTTAAAGCTTCTTTCACCGTGAACTGCATTTAGGTTTGCGGGCGACTGAGTTTGAGACGAAATGAAGATGCACTATTGAGCCACTTACATTATTCTCATCTTGGGTTCTGACTTCTTTCAGAACTCTTCTGGTCCTTGGACTCGCCATGATGACCCACACTGAAAGAGAATTTTTGATCTTTTAGTACAATAATCAACATCAATACTTTAGGGGATCAGTTAATAACTTTAAATTAATAAAATGCAGTTAGTACAATTTAATACCCCACAGACATAAATAAATAAAATGTAATAAATAATGGTCACAATAGTGATTAAAGTCACATTGGGAAAATAACCACATGCCTCTATACTATAGATAACAATAAGATAAACAGATTTTTGATGATGCAGCCAGGAAAACTGGACCTGCTCTACAGACAGAAGCTTCTGGGAGTTTGTTTCTTGTCTGGAATGAGAGCAACTGGATACAGCTACAAGAGGTAACAACAAACTTTAGTACAAGCTTTTGAAGAAGGAAGTTGGCTAAACATCCATCAGATCACAAGCTGCCCCTGAAAGTTTGAGAACGTTACCTTATTTAACAATACATCAATCTTCTTTCGACAGCTTTGAGCATCATTCAGTCATGAATCGTAAATATTTAAACTTTGTTTGATGTAGAGTCTGCAGGCAAACTGCATAGGGTGCCAAAAAAAACCAGCAGTACTTGTGCTACTTAAGAAGTACTTTCCATCTGAAGAAGGGTGTGTATGTGTCAAACTGTCAGAGGAGAGTCTTGGCTTTACTTCCACTGAGGACGGTGATGACAATAAGGCAGGCAGCAGCTGAGAGGGTGCATTATGTTTGTAACATCCTCAGGGCAAAACAGGACCTGTATAGGTTTAGGCAAGATTCCTACTGCTGCTACTTCCAAGTCTAATTTAGACAGAATATATAGCAATCAGCCTGTTGACATGTTAAGAAGAGGACTTGAAGTGGTGGTCCAGCATTAGTTGACCAAATTCAACGTGACCAAGTGTGAATTCCTCTGATTTTGTATGTCAAGGTGGTGTCACTGAACACTGTGCCCATATTAAATTTGTTTTAACTTATTCTTGATGCCCCATAAATCTGATTTAAAGCCACACAACACAGACACGTTTAGGTTCAGAAGCAGAAAAATAACATCCCACTGCATTCTGTGTGAAAGTGCGTTAAAAAATTAGACAAATCATGAGTGGAGACATCTCTCAGTGCGTGTGGTTTGTCAATCAGAGCCACAATTCATTCATAATGCTCATTTTTAATAAAGGATGGCCAAATTGTGTAATCCTAGTTTTAAATCCATTAGTCCAAAACTCTTCTTCTATATAACCTACAGGAATATTCTCTCTGTCTGACCCTTTTCCTTCAAAGCTACAGATCTAAAAAAAAAAAAAAAAGGGTGTTTGTTTCCATTCTTCACAGATACCTTTAAAGTCTAAAACATGCAAGTCTACCTGTTGAGACATGTTGCCATTTGAAAACAGACTACACACATAACTTGTCTTTTTCATTGTGTGATGAAACCTTAGTTTTTAGTGTTTTTTCTTTCAAATTAGTCAAATTTCAAACAGAGTAAAACAGCCCTAAAGTATGCGAGTATTTGCACTTCTTTTCAATTTCCATGAAAACTAACAATTTTTTTTAACTACAGGGTAGTATCTCACACCTACAATTTTCAAAGTTGTGCTAATTTCTTCTCAAAAAATTGCAAATAGGATTTTTTGTAGATACTTGACATGATGAAAGGACTGAGGGTTAGTACCTAGTGAAAACATGTTTCAGATTTGTGGCTTATTCCATTTAACTTACCAGTCATCCTAACTAAGTAATATTCAGAATTGTATTTAGCACAGTATTATTTTATATGAATACAGTAAAGCTGCAGTGTTGGCATTATAGATGCACTTCAGGCAAAGCACCGAACACATTTTAAAGACGTGATTTGAATACCTACCGTATATTTTTTTTATTATTGCAACTAATTTGCTGTAAATTTGATAATGCACTAACCTCTGTAAACATGGCCAGACTCTTTAAGCAGCACACTAGTTTTGAGCAGGGAAATCACAAAAACTGCTTTACCACAAAATGAGGCTTTATAAACTAAGCATTTAAGATTTTTTTAAATATAATTACCACATACTGATGGGTCTAGAAATGAATAAGAAATATCTGATAAGAAAAGTCAATGTTAAAAAGGATTTCCACACGACACAAACATCTGTTGATCAATTTCAAATGTAATTTAAACTAAAGTAATTCAAGCATTAAAATTATAACTGTGTAGTGTTTCTAATAAAAAGTAAAATAATCTCACAAGGGTTTCCTTTAAAGGAGATTATAGGAATATGAATGTTAATTTTATTTGAATAAACTGGTTTATACTGTTTATGATCTCTAATCATTGTCTAAAAATAACAATTAAATATGTATTACTTAAATATACTGTCAAAAATGGAAATCACTTCACAAAAGACCCACAATTTGCAGTCGTGTCAGGTTTTTTTTTTTCCTTTTTGTTTTTTCAATTATTATTTAACACAAGTTGAGATGTAAAATTAAGATATGGGAAATAAAAGTGTCGCACTTTGGGTAATATCTGAAAGCAGATTTTCTAATCTTTCCAAATAAAAACAGAATGAATCAAATATTTGACTGAGCTGATTGATTCGTGGTGCTAACGCTGGCTAAGCTAACCTCCCGGTTACCTGAATGAGACCGGCGGTGAACAACAAGAAGGACGCCGCTTCCAGACTCCGGAGGCTCCGCTGAGAAACCACGAACACACGGAAGAACAACGGACGTCGGGCTCTCACAGACCGGGTCAGACACACAGAAGAGGTCTTGAAGATGTTAAAAGCCGGTAGCCATGTTCCTGTTTGCATACGTTGGCAGAGCAATGCATCATGGGACAAAGCTTCTTCATAAGACGAATCAGCGGCTGAAAACCAGCTTTGAGTGAAAAGGTTGCCTCCTGCTGGACAAAGGTGATACTACAAACTGCTTAGTGCAGTTCATCTGTGGAGTTTATTCTTTTTTTTTTCCCCTTTTTTTTTTTTTAGAAGTGCATTAAAACAGTAGAAATAAAAATGTTTAAAAAAATGTTAAAGTTTTTCAACTGTCTAAAGAAGTCTGTGATTTTTCTCACCTCTGCCAATGTTATGTCTGCGACAATTCTGTTTGGGCAGCACGACTTAGTGTACAGATCTACTGCCTCACAGCAAAAAAGTCCTGGGTTCAATTCCCAGTTTGGACCTGAGGTCGTTCTGTGTGGAGTTTGTATGTTCTCCTTGTGTTTGAGTGGGTTTCCTCAGGGTACTCCAGTTTCCTCAGTTCAAATGTTTGCCCTCAGACCTCAGCAAAGAGCTGTGATCTCAAAAAGATTTGCCTGGCTAAATAAAGGTTAATAATAATAAACTATTAAGGAACAGCTGTTTAAAATTAATGCAAATACCTGTTTAATGGTACTGACATTAATCTCACTTGCAAGACTGTTTTATTTCTGTTGCTTTATATAAATTTTTCTCTTAGTTGTAGACACTTTTTGCAAAAAAGAATGTTGAACATTTAGCTGGTGAAGATTCTCAGTTGACCATATCAACAAGAACCTGAAGCTGGAGGCGTGACATAACAAGTGACAGTAGGTGAAGTGGAAAGCATTGAATGTTGCGAGTTTTCTGAAATAATACTGATCTCAAGAATGGTAAATGGACTGTACTTATATAGTGCCTTTCATCCATCCATCCATCCATTATCTTTACCCGTTTATTCCATTTTGGGTCACGGGGGTCGCTGGTGCCCATGTCCAGCAATCACTGTGCGAGGGGCGGGGTACACCCTGGACAGGTCACAAGTCCATCACAGGGCCACATAGAGACAAACGAGACAAACAACCATTCACTCTCTCACTCACACCTAGGGACAATTTAGAGTTACCAATCAGCCTAACATGCATGTTTTTGGTCTGTGGGAGGAAACCGGAGTACCCGGAGAAAACCCACGCATGCACGGAGAGAATATGCAAACTCCACCCAGAAGGCCCCTGGACCGGGGTTTGAACCAGGGACCTGCTCGCTGAGAGGCAGCAGCTCTACCAGTTGCGCCACCGTGCTGCCCTAGTGCCTTTCAACTCAACTTTATTTTTGGTAAATTAAAAGCATTACAAAAAAAGGGAAAAGCAATATAAAATGGTAAATCAATAATTTACCAAAAAAGGAATAGGCTGAAGCCAAGGCTTATATTTGCCTACCCTGTTCATAGACTCAGCAGTCTACATAATGACAGATATCTACTGTCCACATATACACATACAGACATTTACCGTATATTTAAAAATGCATGTAGATAATACATACATATACTCACATTACATACATGGTTACACAATACATATATAGATCTCCATAACATCTCCATAGGCTTTTATAATTTTACATTTTAAGGCTCTTTTAAAGGTCACCAAAAAACATATTATTTGAAATCATCATTCAATTCATTCCAAAGTTTCACACCGATAACTGAAATGCATCTAGATTTTACTTTACTTTTCTCTTTAGCTTGTTCAAATATTAACAAACCTTGTCCATGTGGTTTGTATTTTTTTCTCCTTTGTCAGAATCCTCGCTTGGTAATCAATGTCTGCATTCTTCTTTGTGAGGTGCTCATTTACAAACACATCTGTACCCTTAAGGTTTTTTTTTACAACTTTTAGCAGTTCAATTTTGTGTTTTGTGCTCACAAATCGAATGATGATATTTGGTCTTTTGTTCGGTTTATCCATGCTTGTATTTTGTTTTGGCGGCACTGCGTAACAGGCAGCAACAGTTTTACTATCCAGCGAAATGTTTTTACTGCTGAAGAACCTGATGACTTGCTGCTCCAGTGACAGCAGTTCATCTGGTGGTGCGTCTTCCCCTTTATTGTCTTCTGCTGTTGTTCTTGCATATGTGCGGTGTGTCGTCTTAAGTCCAGATATCACCACATCGTCCTTTCTTGTGTACTGTTCCAGGTCCTCCACTCTTTTTTTCCAGCTCTTCAATCTTCTCATCCTTTTCTTTAATAATTGCTTTCAGTTGTTGAAATTCTCCGATCAAACGCATCAGGCTTGTTTGTTGCTTCACCACCTTGCTCAGTTCTTCTGACATGACATTCAATGATAGTTTAAGTTCTTCCATGTCTTTTGTCAAGTTCGGAGCCATTTTTACTGCTTGTTAGCTGCTGAGAATCCTGGTAGGTCACTAGGCCTTTGCTGGTTGTTAAAGCACATGTAGTCAAAAGGTGCTTAAAAGTTGAAAAATAGCAGAAATGATCCTACAAATCTAAACATTAGTTGAATATCAAAGTGCAAACCTTTAACATTTGCTTGGATGTTGAGTTGTATTTTAGATATTCAATAGATTTTCAATAGATTGCAGGCCAGGTCTGCACAACCTCTCCTATCCAGCAGCCATCTTCTTCAGTTCTCCCTTTCTATCTTATCGAGATACTCAAAGCGCTTTACAACACAATCTGTGCCTCATTTACCCATTCATACAGCACTCTACTAGATCTCTACAAAGCTAAATGAACAAATCATTCTAAAGAGACTAATCAGTGCTTTATCGCATTCATACACTGATGGGACACACATCAGAGGCAATGAGGAGTTCAGTGTCTTGCCCAGGGACACTTCGGCATGCGACTGCTGGTGGATTTGAACCCTCGCATTGGAGGACGACTGCTCTAACCACTCAGCCACAGCCGCCCTCAGTAAAGAATTAAACAAGTCGTTCATCTTTTGTGGCATTTATTATAAAAGAAAGAAATCAAGGACAAAAGAAAAAGGACATAATGAATTTGAAATAATGCAATTGCAGGACATCCGTTCCCAAGGTTTCAGGAAGCCGACACACAAAACAAGGATTTTAGGGGCTCCTGATTTGCAAACACTCATAATAAAATACAATGATCTTGAAACACAGACTATCTGCTTGTCCTGAGCCTGGTTCTGCTGGAGGTTTATTCCTGTTATGAGGGAGTTTTTCCTTTCCACCATTGCCTTTCTGCTGACATCCTTCCTTCCTTCTTTCCTTAGATATATAACTTTACTAATTGATATTTATAATGTATGTATAGATGTTTCTGTTCAGTGCCCTGAGATGACTTCTGTTGTTACTTGGCGCTATATAAATAAACTGAATTGAATTGAACTATATGAAACATAGATTATGTCAGGTATAAAGGTAATGAAATATAATTCTTCTTTCACAGTGTCAAGTCAGAATGGGAACATATAATCTTGTGAATGTTTTACCCTCAAAACTGGCGTGTTGCAAGAAGAAAAAATCTGATTCAATGCAGGAATTTGAAGCCACACTGTGGTGGCTTTATGGGTGGGTAAGCTGTAGCTCTTGCATGTGGCGTGTTCCCAGTCTGAACTGCCTGATGTTCACAAGTTGTTCAAGAAAGAAAAACTAGTAAGTTGGAAGCAGGGAAACATGGAGAGTTCAGGCTGTCCAGTCTTATAGAAGAGTTACTAGAGCTCAAACGTCTGAAGAATTTTGTATTATTTCTGATAGAATGGCTCAAAACATGATGTTATGCATTAATTTGATGGGATCTATGTATATCAATGGAAATAGGCCTTTTCCCAACTCTCTGTCATGTTCTAGCTCACCTTCTTCCCCCTGTGTCTGAAAGATCACAAACAAATTACTTTTCCTCCTTGCATTTCTCTTTATAGGTATGACTTCAGCTCCTATGAATAATATTCTAAATTTCACCTAAACCTTATTAAATTACAAATTAAACATCCACTCCAATTTTGTTGACTGTTACTAAACAGTCCGCGACGTGAACAAATCATAATTTAAAACCGACTGTAAAGAAAAACGGCAGGAGAGATAAGGTTATCGTGAAGAATCTGGGGGATTAAAGTGCGTCAACGCCTCACACGCTGACCTGTTAAATAACTTTGTCCTCTTTCTAGACCAGGAAGATGTTTAACCAGTGCTATTAGCTGCTCTTATCTTCTTGACTGAAATGGTTTAAAGGAGTGCTGCAGCAGCCGAGGGCGCCTGTGTCCTGTCTTCTTTTGAGCATCAACATGAACTCGCCAACGAGCTTGAAGGTGCGGTTACCGGTGTTGGTGTTGGTGTTGGAGGTGGTGATGGTAGCTCTCTATGCCATCTTTGTCACCTACGATGACAACTCAAATGCAAAGCTGCAGAACAACGAGACCGACCCAATGCAGAACTCCCTGTACCGTGACTACCCATACTTCGCCGATGTGCAGGTGATGATCTTCATCGGCTTTGGTTGTCTCCTGGCCTTCTTCCGCTTCTACGGCTTCGGCGGAATGGTCTTCAACTTCTTCACGGCCACGTTTGCGATCCAGTGGGCAATCCTGATCCAAGGTTTCTTCCAGTTTTACCACGACGGTAAAATTCACCTAGGGGTGATCAACCTGGTGAACGCTGAGTTCGCCTGCGCCGTGGTGCTCATCTCGTTTGGCGCTGTGCTTGGAAAGACCAGCCCCGTTCAGCTCCTGGTCATGGCCCTGCTGGAGATCTCGGTCTTTTCAGTGACAGAGTGGGCTGTGCTGAAATACCTCAGGATCAACGATGCAGGAGGCACCATCCTCATACACCTGTTTGCTTGTTACTTTGGCCTCGGGGTGACATTCGTGCTCTACCGCCCCAGTCTGAACAAAGGACACCCCAAGGAGAACACGAGTTACCACTCTGACATTTTATCTGTGATGGGAACCCTTTTCCTTTGGGTGTTCTGGCCTTCATTTAACTCTGCCCTGACTTTTAAAGGTGATGACCAACACAGAGCGATCCTCCACACGTTTATAGGCCTGAGCTCATCAACCATCACGGCGTTTGCTCTCTCGGCCATGTTCAACAAAAGGGGGAAGCTCACGATGGCAGACATCCAGAATGTGACACTGGCGGGTGGCGTGACTGTAGGAGCCTCTGTGGACATGATGATATCTCCTGTAGCTGCATATGCCCTGGGCGTCATGGGCTGCATCGCCTGCTTCTTCGGTTACAAGTATCTAACCCCTTTTTTGGCCCAACGTATGAGGATCCAGGACCAGTGTGGGATTCATAACCTCCATGGGCTCACGGGCCTCATATCATCCACAGCTGGAATCTGCGCCATCCTCCTGGCGTCTGAGGAGACCTACGGGCCCAGCTTGTACGAGATCTTTTCCCACCGTGCTCCACCTGAAGGGGATCCCAAGCTGCTGGAGCTGCAGGAGTTGATCCCCGGTCTGAAGCCGGGCCTGGGCCGTACCGCGCAGGAACAGGCTCTCTATCAGGTGGCGGCTGTTTTCTCCACCATCGCAGCATCCGCAGTCGGCGGGCTGCTCACCGGGCTGGTGATAAAGCTGCCGTTCATGGCGCCGCCGTCTGATGAGGACTGCTTTGACGACAAGCTGTTCTTCAACATGCCCTCCGACTTCGAAAGCGCCGAGCCGCTCAAAAACTGTATCGACTTGGAGGAGAACGAAAAAACAAGTTCTGTAAACACCAAAGTCTGACGTTTGGAGCCTTTGAAATGCAGCCAGTTTTAATATAAATGTCTTTTTTTACACTGTTAAGTTATTGTTTTAACACACAAATATTTCAGCCTAACCTTTGTCTTGCTGCAGAGATCAGAATGAACTATATTCTTGTTTTAAAGAAACAAGTAACATTTTGCATTCCACAATCAAATAATGTTAATTCTGCTACCTAACAGCAAGTAGTGTTGTGTTCTGTGGCCTCTAGCTCTGGTTTAGTTCAGTCTTGGTTTCTAACATGTTTCCAATGTCTAAAGCACGTGTTTATGTGCTTTACTCGTGTCTTTTGCTTCAGTTCTTGTTTTAAGCAGCCTTTTGATGAAGATTGTCCGCCTTACATGAGTTCATTCTGCCTTCTGTCCGGGCTATTCTTCACGGTTTCCTGTCTTGTTTTTATTCTTTTGCTATAAGTGTGTTCAATAAATTCAACTTTTGCTCCTTCTCTGCCTTCCCTGTTATGGCAGCACTTAAAGTATTCACACTCTTGGATGTTTTGTGCTTTTATTGTCATACATAAGTTATGGTCGATATAAAAATGTGCCCTCTTAACATAAAGGTAAAAGAAAAAGTGTCAATCAAATTTCTACAAAATAATACCAGACTCAGAGAAAAGATTGAAAAGTAGATGAGCTCAAAAGTATTTCCAAAGTTCTACGCATCCCCACGAGTTCTGGTAACTCCATTATCAAGGAATGGAAGGAACATGGGACATGTGTAAATCTACCAGGAGCAGGCCGTCCTCACAAACTGCATACAGTGACTGTTGCCCCAATTCTTCACCAGTCTAAGCTTCATGGGAGAGAGACAAAGAGAAAAACACAGTTGAAGAAAAGTCAGATTAATTCTCAGTTAGAGTCTCTGAACAATCTGGACAAGATTTTTTATGTTTTCTAATTAAATATATGAAAAAAAGTGTTGCTGACCCATAAATGCTTCTTTAATAACTATTCCATCGGGGACTATTTATTTACTCCAGAACGTTTATTACCGTTTTATAATGTAATCAAAATCCACTATTTACTGCACTTTAACTATCTAATGTTGTTTAATTGTCCCTTAATGATTAAGTTTAGAAAGCTTGGTGTTAGATAATAAACTGGTTCAAATCAACAGCGTGTGAATAAAATACTAAAAGCAATATTACATGCTAAGTAATAAATAGATTAGTTCTGTTTGATGGAGTTATACTGTGTCCTGTGATTACGAGGGGTTGAGGAGACATTCGGTGCCTTTTATGAACTGATGGGACCAAAAAGACTCTTATCTAATCGTGGAGAATATAGAAAATCAAAGTTCTGTCTGTTTGAACAGCATAAGACTCACGGACTGATAATGTGGCTTTGATGTTGTCATATTTTTGTGTTAATATGATGTTTTTACTGCAGGAAGTTTAAGATCTTTGATCAGGAACTTTTCAGAACAGTAGTTACTTTCAATTTTATAGTAGTAAGCTTCTTTCAGCTGCTCCCGTCTTCAGGGGTCACCACAGCGAGTGAACTCGCTTGACAGATTTGGCATTTTTTTACACTGGATGCCCTTCCTGATGCAACCTGGGTTTGAACCCGCAACCTCAGGATTACAAGAGCCTGTACGGACCACCAAACTACTGCAGCTCCTAGTGGCTTTCAGTGTTGTCATTTAATATGCGGTCTTTTTTGGCCTATAAGTCACAGTTTTTTTCATAATTTGCATGCCCTGCGACTTATACGCCAAGTGACTTATTTATGTATTTTTTCCATATTTATAAACCAATTTTTGGCTGAGATATGACCGTTTTCATTCATTCTGACTAAAAATATTGAACACTACCATTTTTAACCGCTAGATGGTACGCGAGGTGTGTGGCATGCCGTTGGGTCATATAATAAGTAAAAGTGGCTATTAATGACACTTGCCAAACCAAGCCACATTCGTCCAACTCGCTTGGAGTAACCATCAAATCAGCTTCATTTCGCTGCACCGCCCCAGCAAAATGAATTTAATTTGACCATTAAAGTGCATTTATTAAGTAAAAGTTCAACTGAGACACACCTTTGCTATAATTTTGAGCAAACAAATAATTGTTTTTAAGTGTTAATCTTGTTAAAGTCCTCCCGTGCACGCTCCCGCGGCCGCCATTTGGCAGCCAATCGATTTTTTTGCTATTCTCTTTTTTTAGTATTCAACCACAAATACGGTTGTGGACCTTCCATTTATATTTGATTCAGATTTGAATGACCGAACAATAGTCAAATCATCTAAAACAAAGATGTTTATATTAGATAAAACAGGACGTCAGCTTCACTTTGGAGACTGGGCTGAACACAGCACCTCAGACTGAGGAAGTCTTTCGGATGAAAGACGAAACGTTTCTACAATTTTATTTTTTTTGAATGTCCAGAGGACCAGATTTAACTATTTTTAGATTTTTCTACCTGGATTATTGAGCATGCATCAGGACAGCTTCATTTCGGTTCAACAGAGTACAAAAACTCAGCTTATTTTTAACCAGTTCATTTTCAAGTTTATATGAGCTGCCATTTTTTTTGTTTGTTTTGTTTTGTGCCCGCTGTCCTGTTGAAGTCTATAGCTTTCAAAATGCTTTTAATGTGATTTATTCACAGAATTACTTTTTTCTTTTGTTAAAAACATGCAGTTTCAGATTCATGTCTTTAGAAATAGCAAACTTCTAATAAAGCTGCAAACAAAACTTGCTGATGACTTTTTGAAGATTAAAAACATCAGAATTCTGATAGTTAAAGCCATCCATTTGTATCTGCTTTAGCTTGTGTTCAGGGCTGGGGGGGTCAGCTGGTGCCTGTTTCCAATAGTCATTCGACGACAGGAGGGGTACAGAGTCACGTAACGGCCCCGCAGAGAACTGAACACGCAGCCTTCTTGCTGTGATGCAGCAGCAAAACCTTTATAATCACATGACCTGAAAGGACACCCTGATTATTTGAAGGCTGTTTTGTAGCATAGACCCCCACTGTACATTTAAAATAATACTAACATGTTCGTTAATTTCATCAAAAAGCAACATATTAATCAACTACTCAATATCACAAATATATGATCAGATTTTTACCCATATTAATGTTTTAGAACAACAAATGAAATCCTAATGTTTAAAACTTTAAGTTAGTTATTAGATCAATTAGTTTCTGTATTTTTTATCATTACTCATATACAAAGAGGACTTACATTTTGAATACATTTCATTCATAAGTACAGTCAAATAAATGATTACAAGAACAGAAAGAAAACCATTGTTCCTTTCCTCTGATCTATTGGACGACCAGTTTACGGCACAGTATCTTATCTCCCACACTGGTTATTGCCTCTTTTACTGTTACCGCTGCCACAGTAAATATAGTCATGTGATAGATATAACGTGTCAGCAAAGATCTGTCAAGAAGTTTAAATGTCACAACTTCAAAAGCTGCTTGGAAAAGAGAACTGAAAAACTGGTGTTTATTTATGTGTCAAAAACACTTACTTTTACTGGGTTAAAGGGGTTACGTTGAAGTTATTTCAGTTTAGATGAGAGTAAAAAGTCGTTGTTAGGTTTAAACATATGGAACTCGGAGAGAAACATTAAAGTTAAAGGGGAGCAGAAATGTATGGCACCAGAAGCTGAGTCAGCACTTGTACACAAATCACACAAGTCCTTTAATGCTCTTTACCTCCAAACAATGTCAGTGACTGTTCTACTTCACTAAGAGTTTTTTTTTTTTGAACAACAGGTTGGAAAGTTACTGTACATTTACTCAAAAGCTGTACTTCAGTTCATGTTTATATGATGAACAAGTTTTAAACCAGGGCTGCCAACTTTCAGAAATAGAAGTTAGGTCACAGACTGGGCAGGTGACCCTCAGAGGACGGAGGCCATTTTGTTTTGATGATATTTAGCTTTGAGATATAACTGTTATTAACAAGAATGTCACCAAAGAAAACACGCAACCGAACTTTTACGGTACATGTCCATGTTAGAAGAGGTTTTTTTGTTTTTTTTAATTCAGTGAAAGTTTTGCTCCTATTAGCTTTTAGCCACCATTTTGCTCCTTTTAGCTAGCCTTTTGCTACATTTCACTTTCAGTTAGTCTTTTGTTACTTTTAGTTTTAAGCCACTGTTTAATTAATAATTTAATACCGTAAGCAGAATTGTGAGGAAATCTGACAGAGAGCTCAGACTTTGATTATAGTGAGAGATCGGCTGCTGTTCACAATCTGTTCACACACTCTATCCAGACAGAAATAAATACTTGTCGCAGAGGAACTAAAACTGTATTTTTATTCCAGCACTGACACTCGTGTCAAATGAGGCTGTAAACCTATAAATATAACCAATAAATAAAAATATTGATTGTAGAATGAAAAATCTAATTAAAATAACAGTCATGTGATACGAAGCAGGCTATACAAACCTGTTTAGGACTATTTCAAAAATCATTTTTTAAACTTTAGATCTTCGGCTACTATAATCAGAAGTGGGTTGGTCAAATGTTTTTTTAAGCCACCAGAACAAGGTTTCGTGGATACTTGGAGGGTCGTTTTTACGCCCGTATGTGGATAAAATTCAGAACCTGTTAGTGTGATTGCAGGGTTTCTGCCTCGTGGCAGATCGGCACCATTAAGCAGCAGCTGAGGTCAACCCTGTTAACGAGCTTAACGAGGTTTATAAAGAGGATTCAGTGTTCTGACGCTGCAACGTTATTTCAGTTGGTATAGTGGCAGCCGTCCTGTGTTTTTGAGAATTGAAATCATATTTTCCTTCAACCTTTATTTAGACAGGTTAATCCCATTGAGCCTCAGGGACTCATTTACATTTACCTGATTTCTTTAACAAAGAGTGATGAAAACAGTGGACAACAGCGACAACATTAGACAGTCACAAAAGAGGCATACAAATTTAATTTTTTTTTTTTTTTTAACAAATCAAAACAAAATAGCAACCAAAAGGACAGTCAAAAGGAAAAGTAGCGAGAAAAAAAACAAAC